TTCCTCTTCACATGCTGCACTCAATCCATGCAGGCAGGGTGACACTCACCAATGCCAGTGTTGGCACTAACCACCAGCATGGCAAAGTCTGGGCAGTAGCTGGTGAGGCCAAAAATGGTTGTTTTCAGATACTTGTGGTGGCCAGCCAGGTCAATGAAAGTGATCATTTTGGAAGAACTCTCACAGATCTCTTCTGCTGTCCGGGAGTCACTGTAATTTACCACCTAAGGGATAAGGAGCTTGTGAGAGAGGCAGCCCCAGCAGGCAAATAAAGAAAACCCTTATCTACCCACTTTGATGTCAGAATTACTAAGTAGAGATCACCCACCATGGGTGCAAGAAACAGTGTCTGCTGCAAACATACAACCAACACTCAGGTTCAGCTTAAGGGACAGAGAACTGTGCCACCTCTCTTCCCTCCTGTCCCACTCACAGTTCTAACAGGAGGGTAATCCTAGTCTCCTCCAGCTTTCAGAGTTCATCAACCCACTCTCTCTTACCTCTCCTTTGCTGTTGAAGCCGAGGATCTCAAAGCTGATGCTTGATGTTCTTCCTGACTGGATTTCATGGAGGTGCCGGAACAGGTTGAGGCGGGCTCTGCCCCGCCCATTGTCCAGCTCTCCTTGCGTTAGGACACCCAACAGTGTTGACTTCCCTGAGTCCACATTCCCTAGGACAGCTACTCGAAGGTCTAGGAACTACAGGAAAAAGAACAAAAGAAATCATTAAACTTAACCACTGCTGAGCTGAGTGCACAAGCACTACTGGGCAGTGAAGATGCAGCTCAGAGAGCTTCCCTACATCAGGGACAATGTGCAGTTTAATCTTGCTCAGATTCTGCTCCTGCTCTCAGCAAACCACTGCCCAGCAGTCCTGATACACTCTCTAGAGTTGAGATGTGACATATCAGGCTCTGATATCACAAAAAAGGCTTTTTGTTGCTTTTTTGTGATCTGATATCACAAAAAAGGCTATTTGTTGCAGTAGACCTCTAAATCCTTTCTTGTTTGCACATGGGTCTGCATCAGAACCACTGCCATAGAAGCGAAATAATTTTCACCTCTGATCCAGGAAGTCTCCGGCACTGACATCTGCCTCAATCACAGTCTTGGAGATAAGAAGTGTTATCATCAAGTCTCCCTCTGGCAGCCCTTCAAAGCATCTGCTATGGGCTAACCTATGACAAAGTGCCTCTAGGGTTTTGGCTCCCATCCCAAAAAGAAGCTGCTTGTACTAAGCCTCTAGGTCTCAAGCAGGAGAAGATAACCAAACCACAGGTCCCTACCTGCTGGTTGTCAGGCACCTTTCGGACAAGCACCTCCGTTATCTTCCTTGGAACATCGCTGTCATAATCGACCTCCCTCTCCCGCAGCACCGTAATGTCAGCCCCAACCCTGCCACAAAGATAAAAGGGAGTCAGACACATTTGTACTTGACAGCTCTTGCACCTCTACCATACAGCTGACAAAGCAAATGGGATGAAGGCTGGGGATAGCAGGGAGGGAGCCTCAAGCTTCCAGACAAAAGCCCTATAACTTTCCTCATGTTTCCAGAGCCTCATGTTTCCAGGACTGAAGGAATGTCAGTCATACAGGGGCTTTGTAGGATGGAGCCGCCAGCTGCTCAGGGGACTCCAGGGAATCACGCTTTGGGCCCTGCAGACAAAAGGGAGCACGTACTTCTCTGCCATGCGGCGCAGCGTCTTGAGTGAGGCTCGCATCTCCTCCTCCAAGAGGCCCACCAGCAGCCCGTTGTCCTCCACGCCGATCTGATAGACAGCCTCACCGCGGCCCTCCTGCAGTCGCCACTTCATCTGTGTCACCAGGTGCTCAAAGCGATACTGCGAGGGGTTCACCAGCTTTAGCTGTTGAACAGAGGGGCAGTTCTAGTCACAGCCTGGATGCAGAAGCAATCCCATTGCCCAATTCTGTGAAGCAATGTTCCCAACTCTGACCCACCTCTAGAAAGCAGAGCCTGTATTAGTGTCTGAACAGAAGCCATGGAATAGGTGAAAAGGGGTTTCACAAAGGTACAAATATATGGTAGAAGAACTCTCCTGCATTCTACAAAGGGATTTGTACCCTGCCTGCTGCAGGGTTAAAGACAGCACTCTGGGACCAATCTGTGATCCAGGAGCCAATAAGTGCAAATGGCAGAGCAGCCACAAGAAAGTGGCAAATAATTTTCAGCAATATCTGCATCTCTCTCTCAAGAAAAATACAGTAGGCATCACATGCTAGAAAAGGTTCCCAAAAATCAGTACTGAAATCAAGCTCTACCAGCTCAGCAGACTGTTTAAAGCTTGGCACAGAGGCACAAAAGATGAATGGTAGTTCCATAGTGCAGTGTCCACTCTTCTGTCCTTTCCTTGGCCATGTTACCCATAGGTTGTCTTTGGTGAAGTTAATCACTACAAAATAACCCTCTGGCAGGAAGGCCTCCTTCTGCAACCTCGAAAGACTCACCTTGTACTCGATGTTCCCGTCTTCTGCCTGGTCAGAGAATGAAACAAGACAGAAGAGTTAGATGCTGTGCCCACAGGGACTTCTACAGGCACCAGCTGCCCATATAATCTGAAGCTGGTGCTGAAGATTTCAAAGAGAGGGAAAGTGGCAGAAAAAGACTGTGTTAGGTCCCAGCTTTCTGATATTCTTTCCTGCATTCAACTAGAATTTTCCTAATGGTTTGTTTGTGCTGTTTGTATCCCATATCATGAACACCAAAGGACAAAACTAGAGTGGGGTACAAGGGTAATACTGTCCGGGGGGGGAATTTTTTTCTGAACAGTAACAAATAGGGCCAGCCTAACAGTCAGAGAGAGAGAGTTCCATTTTCAAAAAGGTACAGGCCAGCATATGACTTAAAGTCTCCCCCCTCACCCATCTGTGACCCACAAAATGCCACCCACAGCATCCCACTCCCACCCTATCCAGCAGCTTCCATCCATCCAATGCGCAGAGAAAAAGGGGCCTGAGAACAAAAGCTTCTGCTTCCTCTCCTGCTCAATGATACTCTCCCACACTCAATTTTTTCACTGACTCCCTTCTACATCCTTATGTATCTTCTCTCTACAAGGAAGAACTACAGACATAAAGAAGCATGGTAATGACTCATTTGCCAGCTAGTCACTGGCCAAAGTTCTGGAGAGCCAGACCTGATTGGGACTGTCTGTACATAATATGTTCAGAAGCACTTTCTCAGGGAAGGCTAGATGGGGTTGTAACAGAAAGGTCTGGGTACTCATCAAACTCAATTCAACCAAAACAGGCTCCAGCTTACCAAAGAGAATATCTAATTTTACAATTAGATATACAATAGTTAAGTACTTTTTCCCAGTGATTCACTATAAGGACCAATAAGAAAGGGCTGGAGCCCGTAGGAAGCCACATACTCTGTCAGACTAAATGAGGCTGGCAACAGTAGGCATTTCCTTTTCCTCTGGACACTTATTTGCATGTCAGGAAAGGCAACAGCCCTCTCCTTGCCTTCCAGCTCAGCTCTTAACCACGGTGGTGCTTACAGTGGCAAAAGGCCAACAGAAGTTCTCAATTGTCAGCTCAGTTCTCTGGCTGCAGAGCTGTGCCGTGAGAAAAAGGTACTTGTAGCAGGTTTTCCTCTCTTGCCATCTACCAGCAGGTTTTCCTCTCTTGTCATCTACCAGTTCTAAGCAAAACCCATCCACCTACTGCACTGTTGTCTAAATAAGGGAGTGGGTCTTCTCCAAGGCTCTTGAGACAAGAAAAGCAACAAGCCTAGACTTGCTGGGGCACACACTGCACAGGGTAGCCAAAAACAGGAAGCTGAGTTGAAACCACAAGGGACTCTTCAGCCTTCAGCTGAAAGGAACAAGAACTAAACTGTGGCTGCAGGGCACAGTCCTGCCCGTGGAAAAGATCTAACAGTAGCAAAGTGCTGTTTTCACATCTCCCCAAGAGTACCAGGCCTGCCTTGTGGAGGAATTGCTTGTTCCCAGCACAGGCTATTATATATTTTACAGAAAGTTCACTGACAGGGGCTGAGCAATGGAGTCTGAGCCAACGTAATTCCCCCCACAGTGACAGTTCTATGAAAGCGGTGACAACTGCGCCAGCTGAGCATACACCCACGCTACTACCAATGCCACTTCTTCCTGCTGCAAGAGACAAGTGCCCTACCCCCTGTCCATACCATCTGCAGCCCTGTGCAAGGAAACAGCTGTCAAATTAGCTGGGAAGGGAGTCACCAGAACCCTGGAAAGGGGCTCAGACCCAGCAGAGCAGATCGCCTCTCGGGGAGAGAGAGATGCAAATAAGATGCTTGGAAGTACGAGGCAAGCAAAGCTTTATTTTCGAAGCTTTTTCGATGGCAGGCGGCAAAGCGCCCGCAGCCAGACGCCAAGCAGTGCGATACCATTCACAGGCAGGGTCCGGCGGACCCCGCAGGGAGCTCGCTGGCACCGGGGGCGCGAGCACGGCCCGGAGGAGAGCCCGGGCAGGCGGGCACACGGCTCCCGGGGCCGGGGCTGCGGGACCGCTCCTGCGGCTGCTGTCAGCCCGACCCCGGCACAGGCCCGCACCAGCACCGCCGGCACCTCCAGCCAGAGCCAGCCTGCGGGCTCCGGCCGCGGTACCGACCCGCTCTGGGGGGCACCGGCCCTCCCGCCCCTCACCGCAGCGCCCCCGCCCCGGGCCTGGTCTCGCTCCCTCCGCGGCTGACGGGACGCGGCGGCCGCCGGAGCTCACCTCGGGCGGCAGGAACGGGGGATTGTTGGCCTTCCCTCCGCGGCTCCGCCCGTTCTTCTTCTTCGTCTTCGAGCCGCCGCCGCCGCCAGGCGCAGCCCCACCGCGCCCGCGCAGCGTTGCACCTGCCCCGCCGCCCGCCGGCCGACAGCAGCCCCCGAACAGCTCTGACACCCGGGAGTCCATGGTGGACACCGCGGCCCCGCCGCCCCGCTGCAGCGCCCGCTCCGCTCCCCGCCCGGCCCCGCCGGCCCGGCTCCGGCCCCGGCGTCACAGACGGCCGCGCGGCGCCCCGGGAAAGCGAGTCCCGCCCGCCTACGACACCGAGAACGCACTGCGCGCCTCCCACTGGAAACTACATCTCCCGGCGTGCCCCGCGGCGCGCCTTGCTCGGTCCCGTACGGGTTCCACCTGCGGGGGCTGATGGGAGTTAGAGTCTAAAGGAGAGGGCGCCGCCTGTCGGCCCTGGCCGACAACGCGCGGGATGCCGCCGCTACCCGGGCCCCGCTGCCGGGATCTGCGGACACCCGTGGGTTATCCATTTGGCAGTTCACAGCCCCGGGTTCCCTAGTTATTGACATCGAACGATCAGTCCTTCTGGATTCGGTAAACGTAGGCACTTTCGAAGCTGTTTGGCATTGGAGGTACCTCATGACTACGCAGAGGCAGCAGCCTGACACAGAGCGATCCCAAAGCACACGTTAAGATCCAACGAGGAGGGCGGCCGGAACAGCAAAAGAACCTGTAGCTGTGCGCCGCATCCCCTCACTAAGTGTATTCCCAATCTCCAGTTCCACGGCCACTGCGCCTTCTCTTTCCCCGCCGCATGCCCTGGGGAGAGCGACGCTGGATCATTTTTGGTGTATAACTGACACAGGTGGCCGCGGTTCCTGTAAAGCAGCCTCGGAAAAGCTCCTCTCGCCATCCCGCCCTCCACTCGACATGCGCTGGAGGCGGCACCCAATGGGGCGGCGGGCACAATGTTTCCAAACACGGCACTCCCTGCACGCTCCCCGCCTCCGCCACCCCGCAGCACCGCGAAGGCGGCTCTTCCGCAAGGCAGCAGAGCCGCCAGAGCTGCCGGGAGCGGGGCGGAGGAGAGCGGAGCCGCTTCCTGCGGATATCCCTGCAGGAAGCAGAGGCCCAGCTCCCGGCACGGCCTCAGCCGGGCGGCCCCGGGCCGGGCCGGAGTGGCGGGGCTACGCGGAGCCCCCGCCCCTGCCACGCCCACCAAACTTGGTGGCGTCGCCGCCAGAGGGCGCGCGGCACTCCCGTGAGGCTCGGCGGCGACGGCGGCATTCAAACCGCGGCGGCCGTTGGGGCGGGCGCTCGCTCTGCGCTCTCGGGCTGGCGGGCCTGGGCCGCGGGGCCATGGGGCCCCAGGGGGACACCTCCGTGCCGGGCGGCCCCGCCGTGGCCGTGGCCTTCCCGGGAGCTGTGTGCCGGGGCAGCGGCTGCCGTTTCACCTGCGAGCTCCTGAAGCACGTCCTGCACCAGCGGAACCAGCTCCCGCTGCCCTACGAGCAGCTCGCCTTCTTCTGCCGGCGGGCGGCCCAGGTGAGGGGCGGCGGCCGCGGGCCAGCCCCGGGCCGGGGGATTGGGGGGAGCCGTGGCGTTTGGGTTTTGCTTGCGAGCCCCTGTTCTCTCTCGGGGACTCGTATAGCAACGTGTCGGTGCTTTTAAAGTAAAGCGCTTGTTGTGGCTGCATCCCTAAATGTTACCTCTTCAAAACTAGGCAAAGGCAGTGTTAAGTTCAGGCTGCTGAAGGCACCGACAAATTGCTCGCCGTTGATTATTTCATACTTTCCGCTCAAAGCGTGTCACTGCCTTGTTTGTTACCTCTAAGCAAAAAAAAACAAACAAAAATACTATTAAGTGATTTCAGAGAGATGGCTGATCTTTGAAAGATGGGCTTCTAATTCCTATTGGAATTAATGAGTAGTGCGATTCAGATTCCAGCTGAGTAGCTATGGATTGTGGTTTCGTGTTCCTCTTGCCAACTCGTGATGTGGAGAGATGTGCATCCTCCCCATGTGGGTACCTGTAGCTCTCAAAATGAACACAAACTGCTCGTTCCTTGACTGGGATGGGCCATGCTTTCTGCAGCATATAATACATGTTCATAACTGTGTTAATATGAATTTTTGTCTTCCAGGATGGAGATGGAATTGGGAAACCACATTCCCTGGGCCTGGCAAGGAGAAAGTGCCAGCAGCTGCTGATGGAGCTGGAGGGATTGTTCCAGCACTTGGAAGTCATGTTTAGTCTGACGCTGGTTCCTCGGGTTCTTTTCCTACTTGGAGGCAACGTCATGAACCCCAAGGAGCTCTATGAGCTGAATTTGGAAGGGTTCTGTGAGGGCTCTGCTGAAGAGAGCCTCGATACTGCGCCCTGTGTTCGCCAGCTCTTTCACCGCCTGTTTGTTGCTGACGTCTTTAGTGAACTTAAGGCTCTCCCTATCACAGGCACTCTTGTCCTGGTCCAGGGCCACCGTGACTGTGGTGTTGAGTGGTTCCGGCCCAAGCTCAACTACCAAGTGCCGACCCGAGGGAGGAAGCTGACTGTTAAATTGTCCTGTGATGGAGACCTTCATGTTAGTGCCTCACCTCCACAGCGCACAGTACCTGCCTGGGAGGACTACGTCTGGTTCCAAGCACCAGTGACCCTCAAAGGCTTTAGTGAATGAATGGTTTCTATAGAAATTTAATTGGAATATTGATTACCTTTTTTCTTTAGGTGTTAATATTAGCAAATGTAACCATGTATTTTTGAACCATGTCTGTCTGAATTTTTTTTTCATGGTGTCTACTGCCTTCCTGTATCTTGCTGCGCTCTTATATCGTCCTTATTTCCTGACTTGTTGAAGGCAAATCCACTTTAAGGAATAGTTGCACGCAGGTGCATCGATTCTTTAGGGACCTGATCTGTGACATGGGATGAATTAATGTGTTGGGAGTAAAACTTCCCTGCTGTGTGCTTGCTGAACTGGTAAAGGCTGGATATGTACAATCTCCTCCTGAGTTTTAATATGGCCGTTTTCTGACCCTGCTTCTGTCGTGTTACTCATAGGCTCTCTTAGGTGAAGTTACAAAATAACTCTCTGGGAGGAAAACCTTCTGTAGTCCTTGAAAGGCTCCCAATAGCAGGAAAACCAGCAGGCAAAACTGGAGCGGGACACAGAGGTAACATTGCTGCGCAAGAGAGATTTATTTCCAGCTGATAAAGAATGGGGCAGGACGAAAGCAGTTCCTCTGCAAGGCACTGGAGCTGCCAGGGCTGGGTGGAGATGGACAGAGCCCCTTCCAGGGGCCCCCTGGCAATCCTGCAAGCAAACAACTGCAGCTCCTGACACTGCCTCAGCTGCAATGGTGTGTTCCCTACCTGAGTAATCAAGTGCTTGTCCATCTATTTGATAGAATTAGACTTTCCTATAACTCACTTTATGTTCCTTAACGCTCCAAAGTAAGACTTTTCAGCAACTGAAAAGTCTTGTAGCTAGTAATGTCTTGGAGATGGAGGAGACCAGTACTGTGGAGGCAGGGTAGCAATAAGCAATTTTTTTTTTTTTTACTGATGTTTGCCTAACAACCCTCACAATTGGTTAGCTGTAAGATTAGAAGTAAGTAATTTCTTTGCTAACCCTCTTCAGAGAAAGTTAAAGTACTGCTGCAGTAATGGAAGATTACTCTCACTTGAGGAAGAAACTTTGACTTAAATGTTTCTGAAATACATAGAAATCAGGGGAATGTGATCAAGCTTAGCACTATCTTTACCTGGCAAATTCCTGTTCTTAGTCAGACTGTATTACTTAGAATCAGAACTTGAGCCTGTTCTTCTGGGCTGGTGTCTACTGCAGAACAGGACAGGGAGAGAAGCCCTGAGAGCAGTGTGCTAGAGCTAGATATCTGCTGCAGTTGTCTTCAGTCATCTGGGCTATGATCTGTGCTGTAATGGGCTTTCAGTAGCTTGAAATAACTTCATCCCATTTGAAGAGAAAGGTGAACTTACTTACTGGTAGTGAGGGTACTTGCTGTTACTAGTCAAAAATGCAATGGGGTGGTAAAAATCCTTTGTGAAGAGGGTGAAGGTTGAAGTAACCCTCTACATTTAGTGCATATTTTAACTTTGACCTTTTGGAATGGAAGTAGTATGAATTTAATTAGATGTTTTTGAGCTTGGAGAACACGAGTGCCCTCTCTGCTGTAGTATCCATTAATATCTGTTTACAATGTGCAGTAGCTGCTTCTTAAGCTCATTCTAGGGGAAAATATTTGAGTGAAGAAAGCTGCCGTATGTGCAGCTGCCCACTTGAAAATGAAAACTCGGATCTCTTGAAGGAAAATATAACTTGAATGTAGAAGTGTTTGTACTCAGGACTAGAACCCTTTATGCCTCCACCAAAGCTGCTTGTAACACATGTTTAAGAATGCAGGTGCCCAAGTGTTTAAATAAGCTTTTAAACAGCAGCCTTGACCAGTTCCTTTCACCTCTCTTCCTCAGATGAGTACAATGTTACTGCAATAAACTGTTTACAACTTCTGTTTTACTTGAACTATGAATGCAACAATGATATGGTGCTGGTAACAAAGGAACACAAGATGCTTTTTGAACTTTTTTTTTTCTTATGAAAACATTAAGAACTTGATTTTAAAAATCAGTACTGTAATTATTATCAAAATAAAATGCTGGTTTATGTATGTGATTATTTTGAGGGATTAAACAAGTCCAGTCTAAAGGTTCTGCCACTGGTAGAACCACTTGTTTCCATTCTGTGTATATACTTCAACTGCAGGCTCACAGCTGTTCCACTTTTCGGACAAACTGCATGATGTCTTGTGCCAGGAGCTTTGGTTCCTCAAAGGCAGCAAAATGCCCTCCACGTGGCATGTAAGTGTAAGTGATGATGTTCTTGTAGACATCCTTTGCCCAGACACGTGGTGCATGTAAAAGCTCCTGAGGAAAAGCTGCAATCCCTGTGGGAACATATACTCCAACCCTAGAAGACACAAATTAATTGCATTGTTGAAACAAGTCCTGGGGGAAGTCTATAAAAAACCTCTGTCTATGGCATTCAGCTGGAGAAGTTTTGCCACTTTGTGCAGTGCACATCCTGGTCTGCATTCCACTGAGGTGTTTCATTTCTATTCAAGTATTATTGAGGTTTTGAAGATGATATCTGTAGAGGTGCAAAGTAGAGCCAACTTTGTATACAGGTTGCTCTTGAAATGTTCCCCATCTTTGAGCTTAACTTTTGTAAGCTGCAGTGTTGTGCTACATGACACCTCCTTGAGAAATGAGCCAGCTCCTGCTTGCTTTAGAATTTGGCACCAAATGCATAACAAATGACCCTCTGGAAAGGAAAAGTGTTGGTTCAGTCCACCAAGGAAAAGACTCCCCCACATGTTCAGATGCTCAGTTACTTGGAGAAGTCTGCTCAGCAACGTTTTGTGGTCATCCTCTCTTAGCATCATCTTAATGTACCAGCTGTCACAAGGTGCTGGGTTTCAAGTACTGCTCTCCAAATTGCTACCCCAGGTTTGTGCTTAACTCTTGTGGTTCTTAGCTTATCCTCCAGCAAGTAGTAGCCTTCCTAATTCAGTTTAAACTTCTCTCTCAGATGTGCCCATGATCTCCTGTTTTGTTTTCACTGAACTGGGCTACAAGTCACATTTGTTAGGTGAATAAGACTTGTATTTTGAACACAAGAATGCTCTTGGTGCTTTGATAAGTCTTTTGCATTGTCTTGGCTGCAAGATACCTTGTGTGCATTATAGGTTCAAAAGAAAAGTGACCCTTAACTATATTTATCAAAAGCAAGTAAAAATGTGGACTTTCATTTTTCTTAGAACTAATTAAAAGTGCTGTTGTAAGTGGTCTGTTGATATAAGCAAATGTTTCAACCTCATTTGCAAATCTGCCTTGTGACTTGCCACATAATTACCTGTTATGAATATTTGGATCCTTGGAAAAGTTTTCCTTGTAGTATCGCATTGAGGACACAATGGAGGATGTCACCCAATAAATCATCACATTGGTCAAAAGCTCATCAAGAGAGTATTTGCTGTCAGGAGAGAGGAAGAAATTTAACTGGAAGCTGTTCCTCAGTGCTCTATACTGGGCTCATGCCCTGAAGAACTGCTGTCCCTGTTAATTTCCACTTATTTTCAAGCAGCAAATTAATTGGCACCTGTGTGTTCAGAGAGCAAAACTACCTGGTGCTGAAACAGTAGTGTTCAGGCAGTCTGCTGTAAGTTTAAACTAGTGCTTGTCATGTCAGCCTTTCCTCCTTAAATTTCAGCTTTGACAGGCCAGTATTTTACCTGTATCATCATATTAGTTCCCACCAGTCATTCTTTTAATGAGACTTCTCATAGAATAAGGTCATAACCTAACATCTTACCTTTCCAAGCCTCCATCATCTTTATGCAGAAATGATTTGTCTGTCCAGGTTGAGAATTTCTCCATAATATATGCAGCAAGCCCCACTGGGGAGTCATTCAATCCACAACCTAATTGAGGAGAAGAGTTACTGCAGTTTCCTGGCATTGCAATACTTCAGTGCAAGTAAAACTGAACTTTCATGAATTGTTTGGATTTTTCTAGAGAATTCAGTAGAGTCTGTATTTATCTATCCCTTATAGTGCTTCATTTGTGACAAATTCCCTGCAAAGGAATTCTGGCTGTAACTGCTACAAATTCACCTGATTCCTATACAAAAGAAGCTGAGAGCTAAGGAAGTTCCATTGGCTTCTTGGTGATGTGTGGTAGAAGGAGCAAATTCAGATGTAAAGAGATGACAATCTGAAAAGAAGTTTCAGATAAAATATTTGGGAGCACTGTCCTGCTTAGGATGGGATGTATTCTGATTCTAAAAAATATTCATGAAACAGGGCTAACAGGAATGCAACAGATTCAGAATATCATGCATATAATGGATTCTATATTTTTGCTTTTTGGCTTTTTTTTTTTAAGAGTTTGTGAAATTGCCTTAAACTTTGATCCAGATGATTTTTGAGAGCACTACCCTTGACTCATGGATTCTCTCATAGGGCAGCAGCCAAACTTGAACCCAGCTGAATTGTGACTTTCTTAAACTGCTTTGAACTTTGTTGATATCAGGTTTTACTGGCTGGTTTTATCAACCAGTCACTTATAAACCAAAGCTTGGATAGCTGTCAATTTTACATCTAAATATTAACTTTTATTCATAGAAAAGTTAGGATCTTGCTAAAGGGCATAGGCGTCAGCACGGATTTTTGTGATTCTCTCCCTCCACTGGAACTCGTGGATTTATTCCTGTGCTTGGATTCTCACATTGACTAGTTTTATTCCTTTTCTTAAGGAAGTTCAATTTCTTAAGAATTCTGGGGGAGTGGTCTCTACAAAATATTTTTTGTAATTATGTAAGTTCCATTAGTGGGTCTATAATTATTTGATTCTGCCAGAGCTCTGATTCTTGAAGCATGATTTCCCTGTGATATTTTCCCCTGTAAATCAATTCTCCTTGTTTAAACAATTCTGTCAGACTCCTGATCAGAGACAAGACATACTAATCTTCATTTTTCTGTGGATACCTACACTTTTTGACCCTTAAAAACATCCAAGCAACAGAAACACCACCACCACAACTCTCCCTCACCTGGTATATTGTTTATCTCCTTTTAATTATTTGGGTTTGCAATTACTTAAAGCAATAATCTAAGCATTCATTTATATTCCAGTTTGAGCTGCTTCTTCTTCTCCTTTAGTGACTTGCCAGGATGAGGGACTGTT